ACTTTGTCGATATTGTTCACTCATACAAATAATAATAATTTCTGATCGATCAATTGCTTGTGCCATTGCATCCATGACATTTCCATGCATTTGATCAAAATCAATCCAAACACGATAACCATTTTTAGTTAGTTCATCATAGAGTTGTTTACAAAGAACTTTTTCTTTGTGCGAATAACTAATCATAATATGGAAAGTATTTTCATTAGTACTTTGTGATATTGATCTATCTTGATGATTGATTTCAAGATTCCAAAGAATACCATGAGCAGTTTTACACATTTGTTCATCATTAGATTCTTTAGCTAGTTGAGATAATTTATGGATAAATGATGAATGAGAACGAAGTTGTTGTTGGATATCATGATTGAATGACAATGCCCATATGATATCAAATACAATTGGATATTGATCAGACATTTCAATAAAAAGTGGTATTTTGCTCATTTTAGCTGTTTCTTGTTGAATAAAATCATGCTTCGATAAGTTGACGGACCCTGAAATATAATCGAAAAAAAACATTGTAAATATATTCCAGTTCCATTATGAAAAGTAGTAGAAAGAAAAATCATTATTATAACCACATAAATAGATTGTTAGATTAATCGGTAGCACTGAGCAAAATAGAATCCGTTACAATACTGATACTTCTTTACTTGATTCTATTTTCTACTCGTCACATTTTACAATTTTAACGAAAAGGGATGAACTAAATCTTTGAATCTATTAGAAAATGTAGTATTTGTTTTTTACAGTAATTTTCTGTTGAAATGATCATTCATTGTCGAAATAAGAAGACTTTCTATTTAATCTATAGAATCTCAATCTATGCCTATATAATAATATAGTTACCTTGCAATAAATATTCGATTCGTATTTGTCTGTATTTTTTTAATGGATGATGCCAAGCTTTTTCAAGCATATTAAAGAAAAAAACACCCATACTATTTGCAATTTTCAAATTTTTAAGTTGTTCATCACTTAAAACTTTGCCTAATATACCATATACGCTTAAACCAATCTCGTCGTATAGTGCTCCTTCGCCTAAAGTTGACAGCGCATTTTGTATTGATACATTTGAACGAAAAAACCAACTAATATTTTCCGTTTGTACCATACGCATTAAAATCATCAAAGCTGCATCCATGATGCTCGTCTCATCATTTGATCGTACAGATTTCATTTCTTTATGAAATGGTCTGTAATCAATAATCCGCATGAGATCTTCTATATGATCGTAAATAATCTGTTCTGTAACAAATAGAACTTTAATCTGTTTTTTGGAATGTCCGTCCCACCAGCACAGTCCACCAACAAAAGAAATTAACTGAGTCATACATCCTAATAGTTCCTTGCTCCATAATGCTACAGTAAGACTATGAATATGAACTATCTGCAAATAGTCATCTCGAATCCAATGAACCAATTCATCAGCAGTACATGAAATCTTATGAGTATTCGGATTTACATAAGAAAATATAGAAAATGAACATGTTCTAATGTAGAATAACATTTTAGCAGTGAATACAGATTGTGGTATCACAGATTGTGACAGTTCATTTAAATAAGTTTTGTATTGATTGCTTAGTATATAGTTATGTAGAATATATTGATTGATATGATCCGTGATAGGGAATGCATGGGCAGGAGGATTATAATGTATGAAACATGAATGATTATCAAACCAAAGAGAAGCAACAGTGATAAACATTTCATTATCATTATCAGTTTGATTGATTTGTTTGAAAATAGAACTCACTTGATCAGTGCTAACTGATAAAAGAAGTGCAGCCTTGACACTTAGTTCAATATCATCATTGTTGAAAATTAGGTTCTTGTTGAATGATGCAATAGTATAAAAGAACTCTTGATAATGTTCGTCATTGATCCATTCATCAAAGTAACCACTACTGAGTACTTTCCACACCCATCGTTCAACCACCAATAATGATTCATATGACTTGTGTATAAATGAACACAAACATCCATTATCTTGTCCTTTAAGAATTAATGAGATTTGTCGAAGAATATCAATTGATAGTGGAGAAATATTCGGTTTACCAACAAGTTCTTCAAATTTCTTTTCCATCGTTACTTTCTTATTTCCTCTTTTTCGATCCGCCGTACTTATATAGTATGATATGACGAAAATACTTCTACAATTATATCATTACTTCAATACATAATAATATAATTTCACCTACATCTTTATTCATACATATACTTTTTCTCGTATTATTTTTATTTGCAATTTCACTTGTATTCAGATGACGTTTTGAATAGTATTGACATATATTCATGTTTTCTTTTTGATTAATTGAAAAAGACATTTCGATCGTAATTTCAATTTCAAGTAGATGAATAATAATTAAAAGAAAGCCTTATGACGTTGATTAAAACATATTGAATAGAAGTAAATGACAAATGATTTGAGTCAACATAAGATTAGTGAATAGATTATTAAGCAATGCAAAAGTTTTTGGGCAAATGACAGACTTGCTTAAACCATAATACTAGTCTCTAATCCAATGAAATCCTTTTTTTGGTTCGAAACAGCAGAGTTTGAACCACAATTTTTATACCGCACTTGTGTGTTAAGAACGAACGTCAGAACAAGGAAAAGTAAACATTTATAAGGAAACCTTTTTTGCAACCTAATAGGTTTGCATTTTGTAATATTTTAAAATACATGACGCTAAATTGTAACAAAAAAATTACAAGAAAATCTAGTGCATGAAAAACTATGTTAGTAGCGGCTTTCGTTAAACTTTTTAGATCAGTGCTTCATTCTTTGAACAAAAACCAGTTTAAAAATTGAGGCCAGTATTATGGCTTAATAAAGTCTGACATTTGTTCAAAGACTTTTTTATCGCTTAATATAAACATAGTATACGTTTCATTAGACTTGCGATGAAAACAAATAATTTTTGGGAATCGTGAAGCTGTTGGGCTCAGTATTACTCATATATTTTCAAAGGACTTCTGCAAGATCTGTATGTTGCTAAAATAAAAATACCTTAGTTTTTAAGTAACTTGATTTTAGTTAATATCGGCAGACAAAACACATAAGAGGTTATGCGTCGCTAAACTATGAAAAAAGAATGCAGTTTTTAAAACTATTGATAAAGATCGATGGCTAATACAAAAAAATTAAAGTGATAAAATGCTCTGATTTCTTTCTTTTCTATTTTCCGCTTGTTAAGAACAATAGATCTCGAGTGATTATGAAGGTAGTTGAAAATTCTCTGAGAGTGATTCTCTTTGAATGAATCGAAGTTGAAACATTGTGTTACAATGTTTTTCATTTCTACCTGTTATTTCAACATTAATTTAACAAATCTTTCGTTTGCATTATTGTATCAACAAAAGAATGACGTACATATCTCTGTTCTATGATAAGGATTGTATTAGATAAAATGAATTTATGTTGGTTTTTTTCTTTTGTTTGGTTAATAGTAAAATAGATATAAATTCATTTTTTGTTTCTTTTCTCACACAAAAGTATAAAAACAAAATTATAAAATATTACAGAACTAGTTAAGATCAAAGAATATCTACTGTAACGATTATTCTTAAAGAAAAGTATTATTGAATTACTAAAAATAAATAGTAGTTGGACCTAGATTAAGCGGCGATATCGGCCACATTCTTTTTAACTATTATAATACATAAGGTAAGAAGATTCTTTTCTTTGATCAATATTCATAAATGATATTCTATTGTATTATACTCATAGAAATGTCAAATTCAAATCAATGTTCCACTTGTCAAAAGCCAGCAGGAATTATTCATTGCGCAGGTTGTGATAGTTACTTCTGCACAAAGGATTTCAGAGGTCATCGTGAGATATTATATACTGAGATGGAAGAACTCGTTGAAGAGTGTAATAAACTGCAAGAGAACGTTAACAAAGCAACAAAAGGAAACGACTTACGCAATCCACTTCTTAAAGAAATCAATGCATGGGAGAAGATTACAATTGAAAAAGTGCAACAAACAGCTGAACAGGCACGTCAGCGGGCTAATCAACTGATGAATTCAAAGTCTACGATAATTACAACTGAATTCATAGGCTTGTCAGATGAGTTAGCTGGTTTGAAAGAAACTGAGAATTATGTTGAACATGATTTAACAAGACTTAAACAAAAGATTGATCAATTTAATATAGACTTGACTCAACTTTCTCAAGCACCTAGAATTGAACTTAATAGTGAAGAAAGCAAAAAAATAAAATGGGATTGTATTATCTATGTTCAAGAAAAATCTGGTATGTTTCTGACGTCCAATTTGAATAAATTTTCATTGTGATATTTTTGAAAAAATATAATCTCGAGATGTTCGGAATATAAATCATAGTTCGTGCAGTAATACTAAAATTGACAAGATACTTCAGTTGATTATCTAATTTTTCTTCAAAATTTGTTTTATATATTGCACATAACAGAACAAGAATAACTTGCGTAGTATATATACTAAATATCGTCATAAACTAATAATATCTGTTAATATATTTTTCATCTTTCCAGTTATACTGCTCAATTCAATGTTGTTTATTTTCTATTTCGCTATTTCAGTATTTTATAAATTATTGTGTTTTTATATCAAGTATAAAACATTATTTCTTTGGTCTTAGTAGTCGATTCGGTTAATTAGCTCTTCGAAGAGAAATAGACCAAAGTTGTAGATGGTTGAGATTGTTTAGAGTAAGGCTCGAGTTAATGTTAGACAAGTAAACATTTAATTGCTAGACTTTTTCCTTGAGTTATTGAATATCACCAACTATTGACTGTACGACGAATGAATCCCAACAGTTCTGTATAATCTTATCTTCACACTAACACAGTTACTCAGTTGTAAGTGAATGTATAAATAAAATATACTGTTTCAGAGTCGACTAGTGAGCGGTCTCGTTGTGTTTGTCAAATTTTAATAAATAATACATATTTTCATTTAGAACGTGCACAAACAAGTAAATCACTTCCTCAAGAGCAACTTCTCTGTGGTGGTCGAGCTTGTGTACGTTGTGGTAAATGTTCTGATGGGCATTATGACAGTAACATGAACCGTTATCGCCATCGTGATGGCAGCATTTGCAATCCTTTTGGTACTGCTTGTGATCGTTATCGTCTTCGTACTCATGACTCGGTCTCTGCAAGTGTATATACGCCGTAGTGGATAAGAACTGAGGACTGACGGTGGGAGTTTTTGGTATATTGAATATTTTATATTTGTTGTTTATTATTGCACAAATCAAGAAAATAGTTCATGGAGCATGATTTTGATATTTAGACAAGTGAACATTTGTAAGAAACAGATTTTAAAAAAAGTATAGTAGCTCTCATTATTTGAAAAACGAAAAAATATATCGTGTGAAAATTGAGGTAAAATAGCTATATGTGAGCTTAATTTGATAATTGAAGGTTAGGGAAAGAAATTCAAGTGATCAATTTGTGAGTATAGTATTATAAGACAAATATTTGAAAAATTCATTTGAATTGTTTCGAGTAGATTAAATCGAAATCAAAGTGAGACTATATTGTAACTTCTAACAATAAATAATCTTCTTTCATTCTAGCAAGGCTATATTCAATACTTCTTCTTTAAATTCATATACATTAGTTTATCTTTTAATAAATAAGATATTAATTGATAATACGAGAGTGATGAAGTTTGAATAAATTATTCATATTTATAAAACACAATGAGAAAAAGTCATTTTATAATCATCAATAATGCAGTACAATTAGAATAGAAAATGATAAATATATACTTTATAATGAGTAAATGGTTATTTTTGTATTTGTTCATAGAAGATATGTAGCAAATGATTATATCTATATTTGATAATTCATAATTAAAATATTAACAAATTACTTATTGTCCAATTTACTTTAGTCACATGTGAGTATCAATTAATAACTATTGTAATTTCTTGTTCTTGAAAACAATGTTTTCAAAACATAGTTCGTTAATTAATAAAATGAAATATCTCTTTTTAATATTGTTTATAAGACTGTGTCGATACTTTCAATAGTATATCAAAGAATGTATGATGTCTGATTTATATGATTGCTATAACTAAAATTATTTTCTAGAACCAATGATCTATTGTATTTAGTCGAAAATAAATTTCGATTTAAACAAAAATCGTCGAATAATGAACCAAGAATAGTAACAAATGTTCAAAAGCAATACCAGTAGAAGCCAATTATGAATAAAATGATGATTTATATACAAACTACAATGTCTCATATGAAAACTTTAGTTATCAGTAGTTTATTTTGCTTAAAGGTTTTGAATTATGGTCGACATAATATTTTCTATATCAATTCACTGAGTATCGTAATTACTTTATGAAAAGCATCTATCAAGTTAAGAAGATTTCTCCTGTTTCGTGAGAGAATCTATTTACGTGAGTGTATCGCTTTATATTACCTCTTATTCATTATAAAATATACTTCTTTAGCAAGAAGCTTTTTTTTCTTTTTCTCCTTTCTGTTTGTTCAATCGTTCTCTCAATTTGTTTCCTGTATTTCTACAAGGTTGTTGTCTATCATTGTGATGTGATATCTTTATAGTATCTATTATGAAACAAAATCTGTAGTTTTTAACGGTTCTTTCTCTTCAATTATAATTTAATTTCTTCGTAATACTTATTATAAAACTATATCGTCATTTCTAAATTAGTTTGATAAAGAAGAAAAAAATTCGAAAGGCTTTCCGTTATAATATTCATTATTTCTGGTATAAGTATTTTTTCCTTTTTTTCTTTCGTATTTAATTCAAAACAAAATTCAAAAAATTTATTATTTTCCGCATTGATTAATTGCTTTATGTATATTTATTTACTCAGAAATAATCTTATTGACTTGCAAAATTGACGGAGACGCTGGTATTTTGTGTTTTCAGAGTTCTTAGAATTCTTTGTGTTCATAGATTATATGAGTTTTCAAGGTGATTAAATCTTTGGGAGTATTCTGGATGCCCTTTATTCTCTAAATTCTGAATGTAGATTTTATGTGTTTTGTGTTTGTTATTTCTCATAGTTGTAATATGGACGAAGGGTTCAAGATTTTTTTCACATACTCAGATCTTATGGATTCAGAGATTTATGAATAAAACTGAACATATCGCAATGATGAACAATATATTCAAAACACTAAAAAATATTTTTATTAATTTTCATAAACAAAATGTATACAGAAAATACGGACGTCATAAACATTACTGTTATTTTCCCTAACGACATATTAACGATGTTTTTCTTCCAACATCAGCAGATATTTGTTTATATCAATTTTTTTTGCAATACACATTATTCTGATTATAATAGGCAAACATTATTGCGCAGTGTATTTTCTTCTAATGGTTCTGTGTAAAGAAAACCAAATTATTTTCAGATAGTTTTTTGTGTTGTATGCACATTTTATATTACAGCAACGTAGAACTGAAAAAGAAAGAACAGGCCTCGTTCTAGTGCACGAGAAATATTTTATTCAAAAACAAATATGGCTGATTATTTGTGAAGATGAAGAATTATTGAAGTTACTTTAGAGTGCTGGAAAGTAGTTTCACTTAATTGATTTATTTCATAAACCGTTTCTCATGTTGACATATGGAATTAAATCTAATATGAAATGGCCCTATATTATAAACAAATGAAGTGATCATTGTTTCCACATAAAACAAGATTTTAAGATATTCATATTTTTCGTTTCTGCCTGCTCATAAACTACGCAAAAAAAATCATCACTCTAGATGCATGACTTGCTCAAAGTTAAACTCTACTTACACAATCCTGACAAAAAAAAGTCATAACTAGTTTTCCATCATAGTGATGAAATAAAAAAAATTGCCTTTCTAAATATACTTTTTTTAAAGTGAAGCTCTGATACACAATCCTGACAAAAAAAAGTCATAACTAGTTTTCCATCATACTGATGAATTAAAAAAATATCTATGACGTGTGAAAAGCAAGAGACACAATTGCAATATGGAGATACGGTTTCAGAATTATCCCACTAGTTTAGATCTTACTGATTCAGAGATTTATGAATAAAACTGACTATATTACAATGATGAACAATATATTCGAAACTCTAAAGGGTATTTTTATTAATTTTCATAAACAAAATGTATACAGAAAATAAAGACGTCATAAACGTTATTGTTATTTTCCCTAACGACATAGTAACGATATTTTTCTTCCAACATCGGCAGATATTTGTTATGATCATTCTTTTCTAATATACAGTTTTCTTTGGCGATGTAATTTCCATTATTCTGATTATAACAGGCAAACATTATTACGCAGTATATTTTCTTTTAACGATCATTTGGAAAAAAAGTGAAGTTATCTTCAGATAGTTTTTGTGTTGTACACATTTTAAATTATTACAGTATGAAACTAAAAAAAGAATAGATATTATTCTGTTGGACGAGATATATTTTATTCGAAGAAAAAACAATGATTATTTGTGAAGATAAAAAATTATCGAAGTTACTATAGAATGCTGAAAAGTAGTTTCATTTAATTGATTTAGTTCATAAAACGTTTCTTACGTTGACATATGGAATTAAATCTAATATGAAGTGATCCCATATTATAAACAAATGAAGTGATTATTGTTTTCACATGAAACAAGATTTTAAGATATACGTAGTTTTGTTTTCCGCGTTCATATAATAAACTACGCAAAAAAATCATCACTCTAGATGCATGACTTGTTCAAAGCTAACTTCTACTACACAATCCTGACAAAAAAAAGTCATAACTAGTTTTCCATTATACTGATGAAATAAAAAAATATGTATGATATGTGAAAAAGAGAGAAGAAAAAGAGAAGGACAAAAAAAACTGAAAGGGTATTTAATGCTATGTCTTCACAAGTATTTCATTTAAAGTAAAATTCATGTCTTAACTAATATTCTTGTTGGTTATGGAGTCGAGAAGAAATATTTTATTTCTTCTGTTTCTTTTTTTTACACAATCAGACACACAAGATATACGATCATATGATATATCTGCAATGACAGGTTGGCAACTCCAATGTTCTAACACAACTTGCTTACCATTTGCCACTGTTACTATGTCGAATATCCGCCAGTGTCAAATTGCTTGTTTAGCTGAAGTCCATTGTAAAGCAGTTACTTTTCATAAATTATCGTCTATTTGTGAATTATTTGCTGATATATCAAACCAAAATGACAATCTATTGGTCAATATGGATACTATTACTATGATTGTTACGGATGGAACACGAATTCCACTTGGTAAGTACAACTACGATTATTGAGGAAAGATATACCCAAGAGAAAAAACTCTTTCTCTTTTCTACATTTATCGTAAAAAAGACTAGTAGACATATAGAATAAACTGTTCATAAACCTTCCTACTAGATGTATATTACATATCACGAGCAGTATATTCATAGAATTACTTTTAGAATATCACAAACGGTATTATAATCAGAAATATCAATAAGCCCCTTCTTTAGAGCCTGGCTTAGCCCTATCTCTTAGTAATCGATCAACTCGTTCTTGAGGATGCGTGTGGGTGTAGGCGCGGATCTTCTTCAGTTTTCACCTTTATAATGATGGTGTAGCTATGGAGATTGAAGAATAGTCGCTACCACGCTCACGCTTACAGCCATAACTCCAATCTTATTTGTCTAAAACAGAGCCGACTACGACTTCAACAACAACATCATCATCCACTATATCGTCAACATCATCAACAACAACATCAAGCACTTCATCATCAACATCATCCACATCATCCACATCAACAGCAACAATATCATCAACAACATCGTCCACATCGTCAACAACATCAGCAACAACAACCACAACTACTAGTTCATCAACAACATCATCCACATCATCATCATCAACATCTTCTACATCGTCAACATCAACATCAACTTCATCATCGACATCAACAACAACATCGTCATCAACATCATTCACATCGTCAACAACATCAACATCAACAACCACAACTACTACATCATCATCAACATCGTCCACATCGTCAACATCAACAACAACGTCATCATCAACATCAAGAACAACATCATCATCAACATCATCTACATCGTCCACAACATCAACAACAACAACAAGAACTACTACTTCATCATCAACATCATCCACATCGTCAACAACATCAACTACATCAGCAACAACAACAACACCCGGTCAGTAATATGCTAGATAATATGTTGTACTTTTTATGTAATTTTCAACCTGATGATTTGTTCCACGAACGAAAGGTAAAAGTTTGAGAGTTTATCTTTCAAAGATTTATCATTTCGATGAACAAATCACATTTGCCTGGAGATTCGCTCAGTCATCACGCTGGTGGTAGGGAGCTCCATTGCGAGAGCCGACATTTGAAAAACTGACGTTGATCCAGACGTATCACTGACGATTACTTTTTTACAAAAAACTGTCGACAGTAAAATAGCACTAGAGCATAGTAGCTTAACGAGGATTTTGTCAGCTAGAACTAAGCCCTGTTGTTGTTGCGATTTGTGTAGTTACACCTCGCCGACCTGTATTTAATTTAGAACTCCATGTTAGGATGGAACTTTAAAAAAAATAATGATATATATGTTGAAATGACACTCTAGACAAATGTACGGCGTTTAGAATTCTGCTTGGAAAGTATTCAACGTTCTGTTAGTCGAGGATATTATGAAACTTTATTAAAGGGAGTACAAGTTTTGAGTAGAGTGAGATGAGTTCGTTGATTTTTTAAATTTATGAGAAGGTTCCACATAGAGATAGACAGAATGGCTGAAAGCTGACTTTAGTTGTGCTCTAGAATATCTGAAATTATCCAAAATTCAGGGACATAATCTTTTTAAATAAACTATGTTCAATTAAGTTAAACTCTCAAAGGCTGAATAAAATATGACGATTGAATACAATCTATATGTCAGTATAGATATGAGAGCAATATTTTTGTATTTAATAGCTTGCAGTATGTTTCCTAATCGAACTGCTTACACAACTGGTACTTCTCCATGGTCAGTAGCAGTCGTCGATGTGAATAGCGACAATAAATCCGATATTGTTGTTACGAGCGTTGGCGATAACACTGTTGGTGTTCTTCGCAACACAGGCAGTGGTACCTTTAGTACTCCAGTTAGTTACTCAGTTGGTAATTCCCCAAATTACGTAGTAGTCGTCGATGTGAATAGCGACAATAAACCCGATATTGTTGTTACAAACCAGAATTCGAACAACGTTGGCGTTCTTCTCAACACAGGCAGCGGCACCTTTAACGGTCAAATTACTTACCCAGTTGGTGGCAGCCCAATGTCGTTAGCAGTGGGCGATGTGAATAGCGATAATAAACCCGATATTGTTGTTGCAAACTATGTCGGTAACATCAGTGTTCTTTTCAACACAGGCAGCGGCACCTTCAATACTCAAACTACTTACTCAGTTGGTGTTCACCCACAGTCAGTAGCAGTTGTCGATGTGAATAGCGATAATAAATCCGATATAGTTGTTACGAACTATGGTTCGAACACGGTTGGTGTTCTTCTCAATACAGGCAGCGGCATCTTTAATGCTCAAACTACTTACTCAATTGGTGGTGGCTCTCAAGCACTAGCAGTCGTTGATGTGAATAGCGACAATAAACCGGATATTATTGCTGCAAACATGGGTACGGCCAGTGTCAATGTTCTTCTCAACGCAGGCAACGGCACCTTTAATGCTCAAACTAATTACACAGTTGGTAGTGGCCCAGTAGCAGTAGCAGTTGCTGATGTGAATAGCGACAACAAACCTGATATTATTGTTGTTAACACTAATGTGAACACCATTAGTGTTCTTCTTAACGCAGGTGGCGGCATCTTTAATGCTCAAACACCTTACTCAGTTGGTAGTGAACCACAATCAGTAGCAGTCGCCGATGTGAATAACGACAATAAACCTGATATTATTATTAGTAACACTAACTGGAACGCCGTTGGTGTTTTCTTGCATTGCTAAGGCTTATCGATGATTAACCTTTATTTATTCATGAACACTTTACTACTCTACTAAGTACATTACTCTTATAAAACATTACACAATACAGACTAACATTTATCTTCACTCGATTTTAAAAATTTGAACAAAACTTTGCGATCATGGTCGTCACTTTTCCTGCTTTTTTTCTATCGTTTCCGCTTTTTCAATTTTTTTCTGCTTTTTCAAAATATTATCTGCTTGTCATTTTTAACTCAATTTCAGTTCTAATAAATCATTATTCTACGTATATTCGATGAATTCTTGGTGATGCATATTATTGTTTTTTTTATTGTCTTTGTTGTATAATGGAAATTAATAAGATGGCAATCTCAGATTTGCAATAAGTTTATGAAAATGCCCAATATATATGCCAATTGCTGAGGCCGTTTTTTATCGATATTTTTTTCTTTCTGAAGTATTTTTTAGTAGGGTGGGTCTCTTCGTCATTTAGACTTACACCTGGATACACCCACGCACATCTATCCTAGTGTCATAAAATATAAGATCATCGAGTATATCAGATTTTTTTTGTGTCGCTCCTTTTATGCCATTATGAATATGCGCAAATAAAAAAACGGAACTGATTCACGTCTTATATTTAAACAATATGTAAATTTGGTATTCAAGTTTACTTCAATGAACTCAAAAAGAATAATATTGAATAGAAAGTATGATTTGAAATAAGAATATGTGTAAGAACGCAAATAAACAGGAATAACCGAAAATAAATACGACTAAACGTTTGTGTTCTTTGTTGCATTTTTCATTTTACAGAAATAGTATGTTACGTCAATGACAAGTAAGTTTTCGTATAGCTAAGTAAAAATGCATGCAGAACTCACTGATACTTTTAGTAAAGAATAGAATAGGATGAAGATAAAAAAAGCGTGGTATTTTTATATTGGCAAATTTGACAGATAAAGAGTTGTTGTATATTGTTTTCATATTTGATATAAAAATATGACAGTATCATGATGAGCTTACTACATATATCTGATGACATACAATGAATACGTAGTCTTTCACACTATACCTAAAATTATGAAGTATTACGTCGATTGGTCTCACTCATTCGTAATTAAATATCGTGTTTTCTGACATTTTTGGAAGAGACTAAGCTGTTTACACACATTTGTTCATCATTTTATATGAAAGTATTATCCGCTTCTGTTCTTGTAAACAATGTAGATATAACACCCCTAGTTTTAACTGTCACCGAATTACTCTGTTGAAATGCAGTCAAAACTTGCTTTTTTTGGATCCCAATCGGAATACACACGTATTAACGTTGTCCATCCAGCTGAGAATCACATAAATTATATATCAATGCGTAGCCCTTTCATTTCTCTATCGGATAGTATCAAACAAAGGCTGACTCTCAGAAAAAACTTTATTCAGTGGCTATAGTAGATGTCCAATTGTAAGGTGATCTCAAATAATTTTATGATGCAGAATAAGATGCTTTTTCTATGCAGTATAGATTAAGTCTGAAACGTGGTAGAATATCTGTATGTTTTGAGTAATGTCGTATACGTGTGAATATAATGAAAACTCATTTATTTTTTCAAGTATGTTTCGTTACAATAATTTTCAATCCTAACAATTTTACTTGAGTTTATCCCCGCAAGAATCAGCATGTATTTCCGCACAAGATTGCATAGAGAATAACTCAACATGAATGATGTGCCAAATCAACAACTTGTGCGCCTCCGTCATTTTTAGAACTTTCTTTTTTCAGATATTAGCACTCAAAATTGATCCCATTGTCTCTAAATAGAATGTCTTTTCATATTTCATCTATAAAAATCAAATATATGAGATATATTTTTTTCTAGATTTTACTAGCAACGTGAATAATATGGTTGAATACGAATCTACATCAGATACCGATTTATTGCTGGCAGGCGGCGACAACAATGCCCTTACCAAACTTCGAACATACTTGATCAATAATTCAAATAGATCACGTTTAGATCTTCGTCCATTAGCCCATGCTCGAGTTGTCAGAGAGCGAAATTTATCAGGATATATAGCTCATTTATCGACATTGCGAGAAAGTCGTTGGGTAAGCGAAACAAAAGCACCGTACTTCGGTGATGAAGTTATAGCACATCGTGCACTAGGCAACATTTGGGATGATTATCAGTTCGATCAACCAACCACAACTCTACTGGACGGAGGCAAATTCAAGGAAATGGTTTATGATTTGAAAGAGACACAACATCGAGAACCATGTTCGAAATGTCAAAGTCTCGGACAAATCAAGTGTCGAGAATGTTTCGGTTTTGGTGATTATGCCTGTGAAAAATGCCAACAAGGTAGAATTGAGTGTTGTCAGTTTACACTCTGCCGTAGATGCATGGGTGAAGGTTCTTATATATGTGATAAATGTATGGGAAGGATGAGAATTATTTGTTCGACATGCCTTACTCGTGGCTATATTCCATGTCCTGATTGTGCTGGCCTTCGCTTCGTTCTCGTTTGGACAAAACTACACATTAGATGGGAAAATCATGAATCAGTAGTGGCTCTAAATGGTGGTAATAGTAACATTCTTCCTATTTCAGTATTAAAAAATTCATCTGAAAAATCTATTTGTTTTCAATTTGATGATAAATGGAATACAACACAAACGATCAATAATATATTTGATACTTGTTGGGGATTGTCTCACGAATTGCAGGCTAACATTTGTAAAAGTTTTCAAACGCAACACAATGATAAATCGGGAAGAATTATTCGACTATTTTGTATGATTGAATGGCTTCATATAAAACAAATAGATTATACATTCGGCCAGAAACCAGGTAATATTCATTTTGTGAAAGATTCTTGTGATAATTTTATTCACTTTTGTGCATAGGCAATATATATACATTTTGTTTGTATGGTGATCACGAAAATGAAGTTTATGATAATCAATATCCATACAAGAGCGGTGGTGGCGGATGTGGATGCACAGTGTTATAACGGATCATTGAATTGAAAGAATATGCACAGACATTTGCATACTTTTCAAAATCTTGTTACATTATCTTATTTTTCATATATGAATATATACTATAATTATAATCGTTTTTTTTCATTATATATATTTAGTATCTCAGAGGCTTCTTATATTTTCTTGCAGATATGGGTATGCGTATGGATGACGCATCATATTTACATTTTCGCTCAGACACTCTAGTTTAACAGAAAGTACTGTTAATGGTAGTTTATTCTAGGGGTGAGAATTCTTTGTTATTGTTATAAATAACAGATAAATAACAAATAACTTTCATTTTTGCAAAACATCTTTTCTCACCCCATTGTATTTTTTAATTGTGTCCGTTATGTAAACTTACATTTTAGAACGAGTTTTCTATATCTCTACTACTGATTTAGATGGTTCAATCAAGATATGAAGGTAGCAGAATTTTCAGAAAAAAAGTCATTTGTTATTTACCTGTTATTTATAACAAATAACTATCATAAAAAAGGTATTGTTATAAATAAGTATTAGGTTGACCAAGAAGTTCTGCAATACTTTCGACCTTCAATCTTTCCGAAAGTGTTGCAGAAATTTTTGGCCAACCTAGTAAAATTGTTCTTGTTATTTGTAACAATAACTTTTTAGTTATTTTTATTGTTATTTATAACAACGAGATAACAATAACTTCTCACCCCTAGTTTATTCTAGAAATGTTCATTTTGGTAGAAAATCATCTGCAATCTTGATGAAGACATGATTATGATACTGATAAAAGCGAGGGTGAGGATAAGTAAGAGATATAGGGCATCACTCGCATCTACATCCACACCCTCTCCGTCGAAAAAAAGACAGGCAGAGTATGAGCTCAGAGAAGATATACATCCACCGCCCCAAATATTACATCTATTTAATGATATCATAACTAGAAAAAAAATGATATTATTGAAGTAAATCTTTTCGAAATAATTTATTTTATTTAAACAAAATAAATATTTTATGTATAGTGTGAATAAAGTTTTATGTTCATTTTCAGTTACTGTATAGTGTGCAAACGTCATTGGTAGATAGTTCTCGACTATAAACACGAAAATCATCAATATCTCCATGAAATGGCATTGCAGTCACCTGGTTTCCAAAGCATGATGACGGAGCACTTAAACTATTAGCTAAAGTAATATAAGGAGGCAATCCACTGCCTGAATATGATCCAGCCGAGATAAGATTTGATGCAACAAGAACATTGTTGACATAGAGACGAATACCATTTGTTGAACTCCATGTTTGAACAAGATGTGACCAGACTGATGTTGCAACAGAATGTGTAGCATCAGTAACTGCGACGAAACCAGTTCCATTATATATTTGTGCCATAACTGTACCATTAATAGAAAAACCAAAATGTGGTACGCAATATCCAGTTGATGTGATTGAGATAATAACGATAACACCTTGAAGAGAGATCGGTCGAACCCAGAGAGAAATAGAGAATGGTCTGTTGGATATTCCCAGTGCAGTAAAATCACTCATTTGAAAATAAGAAGAATTTGAACCAGTAAATGAGATTGCTTGAAAAAATCGACCAGATGCAGTAGATGATGTTGAGTTTGTTGTAGCTTGGAGAGAGTTTGGACCCGAATCATTAAGAAATAGTCCATTATCGAAAGTAAAATAAGCGACCAATGTTGCTATTTCTAATATTTCACATGATGATTTGACTCGATTTGAAACTGTCATTTGATCCATATAACCCTAGAATATTCAAAAATAAGGATATAATTATTACTAACAAGTGTATTGAAGACTTCGATTACAATCAAACCGATGTCTAATTGACTTTGTCTTAGATAGGAAGTCATTTACCTGAAAAGGGGAATAACCAATATAAGGCGTATATGCTGGAATATGTCCAATGGTGGTATTAGATGTTCCACCAGTATATGCGGATGACACATTACAAGTGCTATCTAATACTCCATTTAAATAAACTTTTTGTGTTAAAGTTGTTAAATCAAATACAAATGCTGCATGTATCCATGTATTCACTGTTAATGATGTATTACCAGCACAATCATCGTAATAAAAGCCTAGAAATAAATAAAAGGCAGAATTCACCTGACGTATAACGCACATTAAACACTCGTCATAAGTCAATACAGGACAGATACTAAATATAGCAATGGTAGTCGTATCCGAAGTTAGGGTAGTTATATAAAGCCAGGTATCAATTGTAAAGCTAGAAGATTGTAGAGGAATGTAAGAAGTAGTAAGCTTTGGATTGCTACTAGCATTGAATATAAGAGCTTGATTGACATAACCACTTGTAGTAAATGACATAATATTATTAGTCGGTGTTGCATTATAATTATTCATTTGGTCAACAAAATTTCCATCGAATGGCCATCGAGCTAATCGATTAGATAATGAGTACCATGTTTGGTTGGTACATGAAGAATTACAAGGTAGTCTGGTTGTTGTTGTTGCTGTTGTGATAAACAAAATGATAATATAGAGTAAAGAAGATTTATTTATCAGTTATACGTTACTTGATGTAGTGGTAGTAGTTGAGGTGGTGCTGACACTTGTTGATGAACTACTTGTAGTTGTGCTTGTTTTTGTTGTAGTGCTAGTGGTTGTGCTTGTAGTTGATGTAGTACTGGTAGTTGTGCTTGTAGTTGATGTAGTACTGGTAGTTGTGCTTGTAGTTGTTGAACTGCTAGTGGTTGTGCTTGAAGTTGATGAACTACTAGTAGTCGTACTTGTAGTTGATGTAGTGCTAGTGGTTGTGCTTGCTGTTGATGTAGTGCTAGTGGTCGTGCTTGTAGTTGATGTAGTACTAGTAGTTGTGCTTG